ATTTTTAATTGGTTTGTTTGCTTTATTTTTAGGTTTTTTTTTTTTGATTATCATAAATTTTTGAGCTTAAAAATTTTTTAACTTTTTAACCTGTTAAGGTTAGCTGTAGGAGTACAGTGTTTCTGTATACAATTGTCTGTTGGTTTCTTTTTTTTTTTTACAGTATTTTTGCTAAGCTTTTTTTCCTTTTTTTTTTTTTTACTGTTTTTTTTGTCGCTGAATATCAGTTGAATAGCTGTTTGTGGAGGGTAAAATGTTCAACACTGTAGAATGACGGATGACGATAACAATAGTAATAACAATTATGAAGATGATTCTGTTGATTCTGTTGTTGTTAACGATGATAAAGATGATGATGACGATAGCAGTTTACGATTTTTTTGTTCTAACTAATGTCATCATATTCGTAAAAAACTTTACAACAACTGTTAATTGCGTAGGCAATTTAGTTTATTCTTGAAAGTTTTTTCTTATCTTTTTTTTTTTTTTCTTCAACAAAGAATGAGAAGGAAATGAAGAGTTAAGGGGATAGTATTTGAAAAAACAAAAAACAACAACAACAAAGGAATGTTGTTCTGTCAGTTGAATGAACAATTGATAGCAGTTTAATATCAGACAACATAATTTGCAGTTGTTGGTTTAATCATCCAATTTTTCAATAAACAACCACATGCAAATTAGAAGATTTATCAGAACTGTTATCAGTCTCATAAATTCTATAAATTATTTTCAAGACTTTTTTCTTCTGTTTTTTTTTTCCTTGTTTTGTTTAATTTATATGTGTCTGTATGTGTATTTTTTATGTGTTATTTAATTGTACGACTTTTTGCTTGACATTTTGTTAGATGCGGGTAAGTCAGAAAGACATCTGTCTTAGGAAATAAATAGGCAAAAAAAAATAAATAAATAAAAAATCAAAAAACAAATTCTGTATTACATCAACTGTTGCCATCCTTTGATGCCTTATTTTCATTTAGTGACTTAGTCAGCTAGTTATTTA